TATAGATTTTTCCATCACTATTTTGGGATGCCTCTGTACACGGGATATCAGCTTTGTTTCTGCGCACACATTTGCTGTCTTGTTTAATGACATTCCTGCATTTGGAGATTGCATGATGACCTCCTTTGCGATACAGCCGAGCAGCGTGTGTAGGATACTCCAATTTAGTGCTTTTAGGTGAAAATCATATCTCTTCATTTGATGATTTTTTTTTCTTTTTTTGAGATTTCAGGCCAGCTGACGGATTACATGCCACCTGCACTGCCTGAGAAAATGCTTTGACCACTCGGGATTATAAAACCCACTCAATGGGCTGAACTGAATAAAATTAAAAATGCATTGCTATCGAGGTAAATGCTTTATCTGTGAGATGCAAGGGTTTTACCTAACAATTCGTTTGTTTTTGTTTTGTTTTCTCAATTCTAATACAATGCGAGGAACTCTGCAGAGCAGCGCAACTAGATGAATGATATGCAGGTTATTTGAAGTAAACACAACAAAGGGCCTTCCTGTTATGCCATGGTGCTCTGTAATGTGGCTATCTGACTATTTCTGAGTCTCCCTGTGATTTTTTTTTTTGTTGCTGTTTACACTTATGCTCTTCCCCTCCTCTCTATCTTCATATCTGTTTCTTTATGTAAGCAAGTGTCTTTTAAATAGAAGCAGATGGATACTGCATTAGGCTGATAGCAATATGGATATTGCAAGAAAAATGGAAGCGAGGATGAAAATGTGCATTATATCAAACATAGAAATGTTACATTAACACGCTCATTTACAATATTTGACAAGGATCTTTCAGTTTTCAAAAGAGAACACACAAAGTTATATGTTTTTACAATTTAACAAATTAAATGCCACACATAGCAGTTGGAATATTTTTGATTATTAAAAGAAAATAATGAAAACTCATAATCCAGCCGACATGTTTGACCTGTGGTATGGGCTTTCATAGAATTTCCTAAGCTGTGGTGTTTGCAAGCCAAATAGATTAGGAATCTCTGATACACAGTATTTTGCAGAGTGAGCAGGGTTGATGTACTGACTTTGTGGAGTGTGATCTCGGCGGGCCTACAGTTCTGCTTTTCTGTGCCAGACTGAAGTCCAGAGGTGTTTGTCTTGGCTTCGTTCTCTGTTTGATCAGGCTGTTTTGAGAATACTGACTGACCTGTGCTGAGGCCAAATACATCTCTCTCCTCACAACTTTAGCATTTCCTTTGCCTCTGTCCCTTCTCTGTCCTATTGTCTCACAAGTTTAGAACTTTGAAACATTAAATTTAATGTTCATTTTCAAAATATTCTTAAACCTAGCAGTTTGAATTGGACCTTTTTTTCTTTTTGTACAAGATAAAGAACAAAATCAAAAATATATTTTTTTTCTTTTTATTCATGCAGTTTTCAAGGGCCCAGTTTCCTTCTTCTTCCCCTTTTCTTGTTAGTTATCTGATCTTAACCTCACTCCAAAGTTTAGTCTTATATGTGGTTCAGAGAGGTCACTAATACTTCTAACCTTACCACGGGTAGTAGGGAAAATGTCAAGACCCACTTATAGATTGCATGTATTGCGAAAGAGACTCCATCCTTTGATCTGCTGTAAAGTGCTGGTCAATAAAACTCTTAAATGCCCGGTGTAGTGCATAGCACTCTGCACAACATAAATATCTGCATTCGCATGCATTTTGGCTGGGCGCGTTAAGGCTGAGAGAGCCTAAATATTTCCCATAAAACTATTACAAAGCACTAAATACTTTTTCCTTTTACAATGCATCATTAATTTCTAGTGTTTGGTGGCATTTTCTCTCATTCCTGCCAATAGATTTCTCAAATAATGTTGTTACTGCAGTGACTATCAACAAGGCAACCATGGTGAACCACAGTTACCTATGCAATAAATACAAATATTTAGTCCATTTGATAAAGGATAAAGAAAGGTTTCTCTTGGACTTGTAATCTCACACTAATGTTCAACACTTGTTCAGAAAGAAAAAATAGAATCTCTTTAAGTAAATGTGCCAACGGATCACCGAGAAGTGCTACGCCTGCAGCACCATGCCTGTTTAATGGGTGGCGTTTCCTCTTTTATAAAGGATATAAAAATGTAATTCTAACAACCGATCTGCTTACTCTTTCCCTGCCATCACAATATTATTAAAATTAAGTAACACAGTATCCTATATACAACAGTAATTCCCGATAAGATCATCACTGATCCCTGCTGATGGATTTACTAAAGGGCATACTAAGACAGTATATCAAAAGGATTATATCAATTTCAAGCTGACAATGAAAATTTTTCATGGATTATACACTAAACTTGTTCAAGGCAGGAAGGAGAATAAAAATCAATCATATCAACCATGGTGTACTAAACCTGGGCCTGTTCTCTATTCTTAAGTGTATTTTTAAATTATATGACATGCTAAATATGTTGCTTGCTTAAAGGAGTCAATCTCCTTCAAGGCTAAAGCCTCCTGACACTGGTTTCCTGTGCTAACCTAAATTCTGCCCTCAGCTTCTGAAGTTACTCCAGCTCTGGTCCTACTTCCTTCCCAGCCTCCATCCCCATTTCCATATCTGTCTCTGTGTCGTTCCTTAACCTGAATCTCACACCCCAGCTTCACATAATTTCCTGCTGCCCCCCTGACCTAAGTACCTAACTCATCTCCACTAGTGTAATACCCTGATACCTGCACAGCCTATGAATCCTTAGGGTCCTAATCGGCTTAGCCATCACCTGTCATGGTAACTAAAGTAATCTTTTTTTTTTTTTACTGGAGCATAATATATGCTCCATTTATCACAAATTAGTAAAAAGGACTCTTTATGTATCAACCTGTGCTCAGGTTTTCTGAGAGACGCCTTATATAAAAAGCTGCCAGCCCTGGTAAAATTAAAAAACACCCAGGTTGTACAGATATGTTTAGGTTAGAAATAGGGCTAAGTTTCCACCAAACTGAACTATCACTTTAAGAGTTCGGACCAACGGCTGAAGAGAGCCTTAATACGATTAGCCCTGGCACTTGACAGCTACAGCTTAAGAGGCACCTCCGTTGACCTGTGTGTCTGTCCAGCAGAGAGTGTACATGTGTATTTCCTTGCATTCATATATGATCTTAAGGTTGCCTTTTTAGAGCATCAGGGAGGCTGTTTGTCTGTCCGTGCACATACTCCTGTAAACCTGAATTGAACCAAAAGCCAACTTTTTTTTGTAAATCTTTATCTGTTACTGCATGCACTGGAGCTCAGCAAGCCATGCCTGTGCAACCTCAATCCCCCAAAGTCAGAATACAGGAAGTACATAACTTCAAAGGCAGATGCATAGTCTGTCTTTATCGCAGAAGGTTTGTGCCACTCAAGAATTTACTTTTTCACTCTTCTGCATGTCAAAACCCCATATCCACCTTGGCTATCACTCACTGCTGTTTTGTCTCAGGCTGTGATTTTGGATAAAATAGGCTTACAAGCAAGGAATTTAAAACAAGAAAACGATTCAGCAAACACAAAGCCGATGGAATCACTGGAATTTGCCACTGAAGTGTTTTTACTTAGAACTGAGTACTGGGTACTTGAGGCTGTGCCAAAGACACTATATCCACAGAGAGACTTGAGTAACTTGACTTGAATATGATCTGCCGGTGGTTGCGATGGGCTATGGGGTTGTGGTTGGGTGCGCTAGATGCCGCATTGCTCTAACTGGGTCGTTTTGGCACTCTAGGGCTGCTAGTTGAGGACAGCGAGGAATATACAGCACCGTGTTCTTTTTCACTCCAGGCACTTCATTGCGAAAGCCAGGCACCACACTGTGAAACATTTAAGTTGGCATTAATATCATAATCAGAGGTCTGTTTATTCTCAGACAGACAGCAGGCAGTTAAACAAAGAGACCTTCCCCTCTCTCCCCACAATAAACCCTCAGTGGTGCCGCCCTCCTCCTCTTTCCTTTTCCCAGCCTCTCGCCCTGTCCTAAAGACACTTCACATTCCCAACATATTCAACCATCATGGCCCACCAGCATCAACAGCACAAACTTGACCTGGAAATATATCTGTATTAAAGTCGTTGAACATTTTTCTGCAGCCAAGCAGTCAGACTCAACAAGCTGCCGGCCCACATGTTATGACACTGGGGGAATAATAGCTGCAGACAAGTATGTCAACAGAAAGTTTTACCTCTTATATTGGGTCTGCTGCAGAACTTGAACTTTAGCAATTTAGCAGCTCAAACAAATTAGTCTATATTTATTCCTTCCAGAGACTGAGGGGGTGGTCGAGTGTGCATGTAAAAGAAAAAAAAAAACAGTCTCAAAAATGCTAACGTGTCTGAATCAAGCAACATGGTGTGTGTTTGTGTGTGTGTGTGTTTGTGTGTGTGTTTGTGTGTGTGTATGTGTGTGTGTGTGTGTGCATTTAAATATAGCTGTTGTTTTTTAGTTTTTGTTTTACAAGGCATAAAAGATAACTAAGTATGTCTCCCTAACACAAAACACCATTTAAGCATTTTAATAGTCTATAATATCTTCTGACCAATCAATTGTCGCTTTCTTTAAAGGTTTCACTCGTTCGGTCACAAGCAGTGCAGTGACTTGTCTTCATTAGCGTGTAATAAAGCAATGACCACTGGTCCCACACATGTAGTTTTCCAGCTGGCTCATGATAAGGCATATTACTGATAACTTCGCAAGTAAACAATTCCTCCAGCCTCTCTCCCTCACTTCCTCTTTTGCGCCCTTGCCTGTCTGCCTCATTTTATACTTTGTCTCAGGCCTTATCTAGCGTTAAATGTTTTTCACGTAAACTCACACTGTGCCATCGCCCATCGCCAAATAGGCCGGCTGTTACAAAACACACTCTATTTCATGCCAGGGTGCCGGCTCTGGCAACACTCAGCCACTTCTCCATGCCACTCTGTGTATGTGTGTGTCTGTGTGAGGGAAAGAGAGAAAAAAGAGACAGAGCTTAACAGTGGGAATAAAAAAAACTGACATATTTGAATTTATGAGCTTTTTTTTTTCAATATTTTCCCACCATCAATCATGTACTGTAGAAATGCCAGTTTCCCACAAGCTCGTTTCACTAACGTTCACTTACTCCAGATTCACCTTTGACCTTTCATATCTGAATTTTCTTCCCAGAGAAGCAAATGCCACATTTTTTTTTCTTGTCCCTCACCTCTAAAACAAAATTGTATGACAAAATCATCCCGCTAGACACACAAGTGAATGCTCTCATCCTGTAGATCCACATATGGAGTGTAATGTTTGCTGGTGTGTGTGCTTTGATATGTGTGTGTGAGTCAGTGCCGAAGGTAGAATTTAATCTTTGATATCGTTATCAGTTCCAGGGTGATGGTGGACTGTTTGCAAGACCCACTGGAGCTCTGACCTACTTGTGTCAGTGAATAGGTTGCATAGGCTGTTTTTTTGTTAAGAGTGTGTGTGTTTGTTAGAGTTTTGGGAGGGTGTGCACTTAAAGCGAACTCTGTGTGGACACAGGGAGTGTGAGAAGCTGGGTGTTTTGACAGCTTTAGAACAGTTCCAGCACAGTGTTGGGGCAGGGGGTGAGCCGGCCTGTTGGATATATGAGTGTGCGGCGAGGGTGAGAATAGGGTCAGCGGAGGAGTGGATAGGAGGGGATGAGATAAACGCAAGAAAACACTACCAAAAAATGCTCGTTTTGAATTTCTTTATGAGTAAACATCTGAAATGAATTGATTCGAAAATTTATTGTTTGTTATCCCTTAGCAATACATCTGAAGAGCAAACCTTACCCCTTACTTGCAGTTAAAATAAAACAGATATTAGTCTTGAACTTTACTAAGCTTAAACAAAATGAATTCTATCGAAATAAATGCATTTCAACATGCCATTCCTTCCTTTGGTTAAACCAGAGGAGCACTAAATATACTGCAGACAAAACTGAGCATTTGTCCAAGCAGCAAGACGCCTCTTTGCCGAAGCATTCCTGCCAAAAGAGTGATCTCAACCCATTCTCCCAACTTTAATCTCACCAAAGTGTAAAAGCTACGGGACTAAACTTCCCACACAGTTAATAAAAGACCCATAAAGCTTGTCTAACAAAACACAGTCCTTTTTGTTTTACTGTAGCTGAATGGGGCCAGACATCACCTCAGAATTGTGCTGCTTAAGAGTTCTCTCACAAGTACACCTCTCCCCCCCAAAAAAATAGGGGGGGGGGGGGGGCTCTCCACATTTCCTAAGCCCTCTCTGTGCCAGTGGTGTTGAACCCCTGCTTTCTCCAATGGCATTCCAGCCCATCTTTCATGCTGTTTCATTGTGGCCATGCCAGCCAGGTCAGGGGGCAGTATTTTCTCAGGGCTTCAAGACAGCATTGGAAAGATAGATATAAGACGTACCGTCTGACTATTTGTGCACTGAATTCCTGTTTGATTCCTGTTTGTTGTCGTTGTGTCTGCGTGTGTGCGTGATGTGCAAGAATCTACACGAACACAAACATTTTATATATGATTGCTGCACTTAGGTCAAATAACACACTGACCTTCTCTTTAAAATGCTTAATATAACTCAGTATGTTGTGACACCCATGGCTAACCTGCGATATAGAATCTGTCTCAAAGATGTAAGCTGCCTCTTTTGAGGTGGCTCCGAGTGACAGCACTGACTTGATGTAGCCGTAAGAGCCTGCGCCGCCTTTGTTTTAGAGATTACAGTACCAAACTCTGCCAGTAGATGTCCGTCTTCAGTCTTGCACAGCCTCCAAACAAAGTTGGCAGACTGGCTTTCAAAGATATTCACATGATCAAATTGGTGACTGTATCAGTATCCTAAGTGTGTCAAATAAGTGAAAGATAAAATGATGCCTATGACTATAGTGAGTGGCAGATGGACTGGTAAAAGCTCCTGCCTTGAAAGCAAACCTGCTAAAGTTTAAATTAAACATAGTTTTGCTTGAAGAAAACTGGAGGTATTTTGCTGACAAAGCAAAGCTCAGCATTCCAGCAGTAAATTCTTAGACACTGAGATCTTGGAAGATATGATAGCAAACGCTATGTATTCTCCTTGGTCCAGTCTGTGATCTCCTTTTTTACTGGCTTTAGTAGCAGTAGGCTACAGTTGCAACGTGGTAGTTGCTATGCCTGAAAACCCGGAGTAACCTTAGGAGAAAATTTCTCTCCATTGCCCATGAGTAATAATAACAGTCTTGCATTATTTACCTGGATAGAGCGTGTTTGCAAGGGTTAAAGGGGAAACGTAGTTAAATCCCACTGACATGCAGACAGTTGCGTGGATAACATTAAAAAAAAATACCCCGTGCTTACCTATGATTGATTATTAGGTAGTGATTAAAGGCAGTGCAAAGTGGATGCAAGGGCTGTATCTGCCAAAGGCAGCACGCTTTGTGGGCCGTTCTGCGTTAATAGGATGAAAAGAACATAGTTTCTGGGCGGGGATACGATGATATATACAGGACATGATTGGCCCGCGTGTTCTAATCGCTGAGGAGGCCTTAAGTGTTCCTCTTAAACCTCGAGATTTAGGCTATTAAAGTATTACAGTAATAAAGTTAGTGCGTTTAAATTGCGTTTTAAATTCCTCAGCCACTGTTGCATGGTAATGGTCATCCCGGAGCTGTTTGACAGTTGTTCTTATTCACAGAAATCACACAGCGCAGTAAAGAAAAAACGCTAATTGCAGAATTTCATATTTTAATCAATAGACAGCTCAAAAGTTCCACTTTTAGTCATCAGTGACGTCTTCCGTATTCTCAAGTCTTCTTCCAAAAATGTCAGTTTGCAGGATATCAAGCTGTGTGTCTAAATCCTCAGAAAGATGGAGTGCAAACGTCTAATTTTCCAACGGAACTTGAACGCAGCACAGGAGAAGTTGGAAGACTTGTGTCGTGACGCGCAGTCGTGGAGGCGTGCCTCTGATGAAATCAGCCGGGGAAACAACAACAGAAAGGGGGTGGCTCAGACCAGAAGACTCTTTCAGCCAGTTGTGATTGCATTTCATCCTCCAAAGTGTCAGTTTGAAGATAACAAAGCATTATATTAAGTCTGCAGCAGCGAGCTGGTTCTTGTTGAGTTCTGTGAGGCGCTGGATTAAGGAGGCAGCGACGGGAAGTAGACTAAAGAGGAGGATGTGATAGGGCAAAGGTCCTGTCTGCAGTTATCTGTGCTCTTTGGCAAACAACGGGATCGCAGAGATCGCATCTTCCCTCTCCGTGCGTCTTTGTCCGGTTTCAGTGACCGGCTCAACCACCAGCAGAGTGGCATGTGGGTCAATTCCGGAACCGTCGGAAGGTAGGGACCCCTCCTGCAGGAATACTCGGTCACATGCTCTTCTTGCGATTCTGGCTGTGCACAAAGCAATCCGCACAAAGCCCCCAACATCTTTTTTTCCTCCTCCCTTTTACACTCCAGAGATTCATTAACAGCTGTTTTCTGTTCATAATGTTTCAATCACCTCTTCCATCTCTGTAACATCATCGTAATTATAACGGAGCCTGTTTTATTTCAACGTGTTATATTAATATTTCAGACAGAGATATTACAATATCACAAGGCGGGGTTATTTAAAAAAACACCTGCAGACTTATGTTACTTTTTCTTTTTCCTATTTTTTTTTCCTTTGACATTATGATTCTGTGTTGTAGTGAAGCGGTTGGGCTTGGCACATTACGCCAGACTTATCAGTGCATCATTTGGCATGTAGGATTGTACCTGCCCTTTTTTATAACATCGTTATGTGAGAGACAGCAGCACGGTGAATATTGACTCATGCCTTTTATCTTTATAGACTCTGATGACAAAACACAAGACTGACTGATTTGTTGAATCGGTCTCTATGAGAAACTATGAATGAGCCAGGTGGTTATGAATGGCTGCGGGGATACGGAGCACACGAGGTTCTTTCATTGATGACTGTAGGGATCCTACACCGCAGTATTTACAGGGACAGCGTGCAGATCGAAGCAGGGACAAAAGATAACGTGCAGCCTGATAAGATAAATGTGACCTTGTAGGACCGTACAGACACACACACACACACACACACACACACACACACACACACACACACACACACACACGTGTGTGTATATATGTGTATATATATATATATATGTATATATATATATATACACGTGTGTGTGTGTGTGTGTGTGTGTGTGTGTGTGTGTGTGTGTGTGTATAAGAGCGTGTGGGCCATGACGTCATCTGAGGGACAGTGCTTCGCAGGTGGCTATGTGTCTGATGAAGAACCTTCTCACTCCTACCTGGAAATAAATAAATAATATTCTGGGAGTTTCTTTTTTTTTTTTTTTTTCTCACTTCGTTTTCATTTCCAGTCATTAGCAATTAATCATATCTAGTTGCATAAACATTTTGGCATGCACACGATATTGTGCAATCCTTGTCTTTTGGCCAGCATCATTTTTTTCCCTCCTCAAGTGATGTCTAATAATGCTCACTGTGTGACTGTAGCTGAGCCATTTGTGGAAACACCAACTGCATCAGATCTTCTGTTCTGTGCGTCTCTCTACCAGCGTCCTACCAGTCATCCGCCCTTAACACACGGACGATGAGATGTGTTTTTGTTGGCTATTAAGAATTTTGTTCTTAAATCTTATGGCAGTACTGTAGGAAATGAATCAAAGATCAAGGTTGTCGTTATGTATACTCAAATGGCTTAACCTATTGTCCTGATTAGGCACTGTGCCCAAGCATTCGACTGTGTCAACAGCTTTAAGATAACATTCTGCAGCGCTGATAAACCCACATGGAAGAATAAGCCAGCATTATATGGCAGGCTTGAATGTCCTGATCCCTGTAACAAGCTGTAGTGGAAGATATACAGAGGTAAATAGTGCTTAGAATTGCTCAGATGCTTTATGGTTTGCTTTTATATGTAACATAAACGTGTGCTTTGGTGCGGAAAATATAAAGTATGTTGCATTTTTAAACAAGATTAGTACTGCTGGACTACTTTCCTCCCACCCTAATTATCTTTGGGTCAATAGAAACTCTTAATATGATTGTGACACGTCAAATGACATGCACCATAAGTATTAAGCTGAAAGGTTTTAGAATTCAAAGATGGCAAAGAGTTAAGCATATGATTCATGAGAGCTGGGGTTGGGTCACTAGCCACAAAAAAGTTTGAGAGCCCCTGCTTTACATCATGTTTTAAACCACAGTTGCATTCCCACAGGAATGGCCTGGACTATTTTCTCCCAGACAAACCTAATCCATCTCTACATCAGTAAAGTTGTAGTAATATCTAGGTCACCAAGTCCTTTGTTTTAAAGTTACAGTACTTGCTTTGTCTCAGGTGCCTAGAAAAATCACAATCACATTGTGAGTTTTTTGCCAGAAAAACAAACCATGTACAAAAAAGACAATGTGTCATGTTTCAATTTATTTGAAATATCAGTCTCAAATGAGCCGGCTAAAGATAAACAGCATGCAGTTGTATGCAATGATAAGGTAATAGATTTATGCTAATAACAACTGTATTTTGTATGTGGTGTTTGGATTCTTTATGCAATTAAAAGTCAAAGCCATCAGATGGCACTTTGAAGATCAGTGGAAAATGACAATTAAATCGCCAGCTTACCTGTTTGTTCAATCAGAATAGTCTTAAAAAGAAAATTGTGAGAATGGGTGACGAAGCATGAGAGATGAGAGAGACGTGAATGACAGACATGCTTTGAGAGACTAGATGTAAAAGTGTCCTGTATATGGAGTGGATACTGAAAGGTACAGGGGTGTGAACTAGAAATTGGAAGAAAACGAGCAAGAAGGACAGCAAGATAGATGAGAGAGGAAAGAAGTGGTGGGAAGTATAGATGGAGAAGAGTAGAAGGAAGACTGGCAGGGATGAATAGGAGAACTCAGAGACACAAGGGTTGGCCTGTCTGTGTTTAAAAATCTTTACTGCAGCAGAGAGAGAGAGAGAGGAGCGAGGCTTTTTCAACTAAGCTGGCGTGCGGCTGGCTCCCAAACAGCCTTTAAATCATTAAGCTAGATGCATACATAGCATCGCCTGCCGTGGGTCGTGCATTAATACCAGTACCATCTGCAAAGGGTAAGACAGTACGTGCAGGCATGCATGTGTGTATGCATGACTCTGCGAGTTTGTGAGTGAGTCTGAGGTCTACTGTCAGCCATCCTGGGAGCCTAGCAGAGACTACAGACCAGGTTATGTAACCAGTCTATGGCAGCTGTGCCTGTGGCTGTCAGTGTCTCAAACACCCACAAAACACACAATTGTAACTCACACACACAGATGCACAAGTGCACAAACCTAAAACGCATACACAAGAATGAATGAGTAAGCATTTTTTTTCTTGCAAGAGAGCAAACTTTTGACAAAAACAACTGTTATTAAAAGGAAGCTTACATGGTTGCACGTGTTTAAATAGATTCTGCAGACAATTACACACGAGCACTTTGTGTATGCAGCCAAGCCTGTGATAGTTTAAGCCCCATAGCTCTGTGTGAGTGGCCAAGTGTTGACCCATGCATTAAATGGGTGGTTTTTGGGGTCACTCTTTTTTCACTTCTTTTTTTTTTTTGCATGAGTGGTTGAAGAGAGCACAGTGGCAGCCGGCTTCAACGCTGGCATCGGGATGAATTCTAGCCCCAAGGAAGAAGAGGCAGATGGGGGGGTGGGGTGTTAAGGTTTTGGGATAACTGGTTGCTGCCAGTGGATCACTATAGGTGTTACATAACAGAGAAACTGGGGAGGGGGGGTGGGGTGTATATTTGATTAATACTGCTCCTTGACTTACATCCAAAAAGGTCATAGAATGATAGATCACTGCTGAAAAAAAAGGGTGGAGGAAAGTGTGCCGTTGGGAGAAAAAGTGGGAGGAGACAAGGGAGATGGAGAAAGGTTACTAGAAGACAATGAGTGAACTGAAGGATGGAAGAAATGTGAACTGGAGCATTATATTTAGGGAATAAATGCAGAGTGGAAATAAAGTGAGGGACTTTGTCAGCTGGTCCAAAAGTATGCTAGAAAGGGTACGGCTGGAATAAAACAAATAACCCACACAGACAGAAGGATAAATAGAAGGATTTGGAAAAAAGCCAGTGAGTTTGTGTACAGATAAACTAAACAGGAAGATGACAAGATGTGTTTATCTTCTTTCATTTCTCCTTTAAGGGCTGTGTGGCCTTAAAGAAAAGCTATACAAAGACGCACATTATGCATGAGTTTCCTTGTCTCTTTGGGCATGCATGCAGGCTTGCACACATGCACGCGTGCACGCGCTGACTAAATCCATGACATTCCAGAATTAACTAGAAGGGTCATGTTTGTGTGTTGAGTGGGCATTTGAGTCCCTGTCACAGTGTTTCTATCAGTCTGCTGATGCCTACGCAATATCGATATGTCCTTAAAAGTGTCAGAAAAACATGCACACGTAGCGAAAAAATAAAACAGTGACTCATTGTCTCATTGTTTTACATTGCAAACTGTCTTTGTCCTTTTAGACACCTTTGCTAGCTAACATGGAAAAATCGCACTGGCCAGCAGATGAAGTCTAGACATCTGTGTACAGTTCACTATAGTTCACTGGCTAAAAATGAAACCTGAGCTCTACAGCTACACTTTCCGCTCCTCTGAGCTGCACAAGTCTTCTGCTTCCATAGTCTCTGGCTTCTGTTCATCCTCCAGTCATGCAATTAAAAATAATTGTTGGAGTCTAGGAACGCTTAGGAGGTTTAAATATAAACCTGTGAGCAGGTGTGTATCTGCCAAGCGCAGTGATGTATGAGTAGACAGTTGTGTTACACTTGTTAACCAACACATGACCGAACTTGCTTGGGGCCTCGGTGAAGATCCTCAGATGGAGGATGATATCTGGGAGTCAGGTACTGTTGATCCCCCTGAGAAACTGTCTGCGCCACCACCAACGCTGCCTTCTGGTTATATCAGTGCATGCATGCACATGCACGCACTCTCTCATGCACACACACACACTGACTTAAATAGTCCTGCAGGCCAGTAGTAAAGGATTTAACGCTGTACTCTGATATCTCCCTTGTATTTAACTTTCTTTCCTTTTTTACGGAATCACACATATTCACACATATCAAAGCATCAGCAGGAAAATTTGTGATTTGTTCTTCTGAAAAGCCTTGGTTATTGCCGGTCCCATCCTTTTGATCCCTGTAGCATTAATTTCTGGTTCTAATGCTGGGCTGACAGTGCCTCTCGTTCTCTCTAATACTAATAATCCCCTCCCTGGCTTTTTCTATCTTGCCTTTCTTTTCTGGCTATCCACTGTTTCATTGGAAACAGAGAGGATTTAACAGTACTGTACATCACGTCAAGCCTTTTTTGTTGTTGTTGACAAAGAAAATCGATGTCTTAGGTCTCGAGGGAAATAAAGCAACGGTGATATAGATGAAGTGAAGGTGTATGGCTACACTGAGAGCAGTTCATGGCTGAATAGCAGGGCGCACACATGGCTCATGTGTCTGATGAATAGATGCCATTTTTAGCTGCTGGTGTCTGTCACTGCTGGACCGAAGTGTTGCACTGGCATCCACGTCATTGGAACAACAAACCAGAGCCTTTATAAATGTTTCAGATGCTCTATTTACGGGGGCCTTGGTTTGGGTTTTGAATAAGTCGCAACCCCGAATGGACTGATTAGCTGGCTACAGACTGAACTGCGTCTGTGGTGTGGTGTGGCAGTGGTGTCGGTTTTGTAATAGCACAGATTTCTCCAGGAAAGTTTTAAAATGGGTATTAACATGTGTGTTGACATGTCAGAAATGTTTGTAAGCAGTTTATGGAAAGGGGATTTTGGTAAGCTTTTCAGAGTGATGTTTGGTTTTAAAAGAGGAAGTCAGGTGACCTGTGCAGTACTTCCGTTTTGCACCAAGGTTAAGTACAGAGGTGACAGGTGGTCATACATGGCTGCCACGCCAAGAGAAGACGAATGATGATGCATGAAAGACCAAAAATGCTCATTAGAAAGGTCTGGGGGTTTATACTTCCCTTTTTTTTGCACAGCCAACTTAGATTTCATCATCTCGTATTATGTTTTCTCTAAAATGAAAATGCTCTGAGTGATTCAAAAGAGGAGCAGAAAGGGGGAGAAAAGAATAGTAAACTCCAGGGAAGTCTCGTTCTTCTTCCTCTGTCCATCCACCTCCTCCCCCTTCTCTATGTTTCTCTCTCTGTGCTGTTACAGAAATAGCTCTGTGGTCCTTCTTTTGCTCAGCCTGTGAACCATGTGTTCTGTTGAGGGGTTTGGCAGAAGCCTGAATACACTGGGCAGCACAGCTATGGGGGCTTAGATCCTTAACAAAGCTCCCCTAGGCTGGGCTGGGCGACAGCTAGCGGCTACTGTGCCTGATGTTGTTGTCAGTGTCAAAATGCAGTGTCATTCTTCCTGTGGTTCTTTATCAAATGCTGTTTTATTTTTGTTTTTCATGACTGTTGAATTAACCACTTCTCATTTTGATTCTTTCTTCTCTCGTGTTTTCCAGGGCCCTCTCCATGGATATAGACACAGACTATGAGCGGCCCAATGTGGAAACCATTAAATGTGTGGTGGTAGGGGATAATGCAGTAGGCAAGACCAGGCTAATCTGTGCCCGGGCCTGCAATGCCACCCTCACACAGTATCAGCTGCTTGCCACCCACGTGCCAACCGTCTGGGCCATCGACCAGTACCGTGTATGCCAGGAGGTGGGTACATGCACACAGAGTCAAACACAGTTCAGAAAGAGCTGCATAGACAGATTTGGGCACAGTTCTGGGCATTGTACAGAGACCGAAACACAGGCTATAGTAGTTACACATATGTATAAAAAGTAAGTAAAGATTATCAACACTGAAAATGTTGTGCAGGCCACTTAGAAATATTTGTCTGTGTTGCAGGTGTTAGAGAGATCTCGTGATGTAGTGGATGAAGTCAGTGTGTCCCTGAGGTTATGGGACACATTCGGGGATCATCACAAAGACAGACGTTTTGCCTATGGCAGGTGAGCAGATACACTCAGTGAAAAAAAAACACACACACGCACACATATACACACAAACACCGTTTGAAGCTATCCGCTTGCCCCAACTTCGTTACTGACCCGGTAACACCATTTGTTGGCTGACCACAAGGTTAACTATCTTAAAGCGTGTTGTTCTAGTTTCCCATTTTAATTGGCGCTGCCAAGGAATTGCTTTGTGTTGGCTGTGTAGTTTGTAAGGCATTAACACAATTTACGTGGGCTAACATATCACCAAATTCATTGTTGGCTTCTTCAGCAGAATGCAACCAATCTATTACACCCACAGAAACATGTCAGTGTAACTTTCCCTCACCCAAAAGTTGCTTTTTGTGTAATCCAGCTGCCATGCTTTTTTAGTTGAACTCTGCTCTCAAGCTGTTACATCCCTCCTCCCTCAGATGTGATTGGATCATCGCTACATCCTCTTATTTCCCGTGCCTCTATCAAAGCTGCTTCATTGGCATGAAATGCAAAAGTACTTATTGCCAAAGCAAAATTCAGCAGATAGAAATTCGATTCACACCGAGCAAAAGTTGGCCAGCGACATCAAACTGAACAATAAAAAAAAGAAAGGATACATTTTAACCATGCTTAAAAAGGCTGCTGTACTCTATATTGCACTCTGCTGTATGTTTTACCAACAATGGGTGGATCCTTAAAAAAGATCCTTAAGAAAAGCAAACAAACCCAGATCCCTCCCTCAGTCATACGTAAGGTAAGTTAAACAGAAGTGCCGAGTCATTGCGGTCATTAGCCTTCGTTTTGTTAAAATAAAGTTTCCTTAAGATATTCTTTGGCGAGTTGTCTTATTTTAGAATGTCTCAGGCCAGATTCAGATGGTTTACGCTTTAAAACCTGAACCATTAAATAAGAAAAAGACAGAAAATGTGAATTTGTTTTAGATCTGTTTTGCAATTTAGTGTAATTTAATTTAAAAAAAAACACTGGGATCACACTGATTAGGCTGGTGTATGCACTTTGTGTATCAGGTCACCTTGTCCCTGTGTCAGGTGTGTTTGAGTGAGAGGTGTTTATTGAGGTGTGTTTATTGTCAAGTAGCATGTAGTTCATTTGTTCATTTTGTTCTTGTTTTGCTGCTATGATACAAATTAGGCCAAAGTGTCTGTACATGTGCACATTGATATGCCTCTATTTGTATATGTTTTGGTGTGTGCGTGCGTGTGTGCATGTGTCTGTCTGCATGCCCTGTATGCTTTGTCAGCCTGCAGTCAGCTGATAAAAACACAACGCCAGCTCAGCTGTTTTTCCGTGCCCGGTGTCACTGGCTCCCCTCCCACTCATCCTCGTTCTCTCCCATTCCATTCATCTGAGCCGCGCTTTATTCTCCATCCTGTCCTCAGGCTCCTCTGATTCACCTCACCTCCCCCTCCTCTCTCATTACCTTAACTGAATTTACATCATAAGGCTCTGTTGTGCCCTTGACACTTTGCTACCTCCTAACCCAGCCTTTTGTTGATATCAAAACTCAAAACATCACATTGTCAAATGATACCCAGATTGTCACATGGCTTGTTAGAAGAGGAACACTCAGTTTGGGAAAATAAACACAGAGTGAAAATAGGTCAAGTTAAAAAGTTTTTCATTCAGCAGAGATTCAGAAATTTAAAAAAACAAAAAGTTAGAGATTGAAGCACTTCCAGCATGATTTGCCAGTGTGATACAAATCCACTTTGTTTGTACATTTAGAGGCAGACTGGGGCAGGTCTTCACAAAATGCAGATAGGAGAAAAATATAATCCATATAAAGGATGACCTGTTGGTCCATATATCACGTGTCCAAAAAGAAAACAAATTTTTATGCATTTATATTTGAATGCGTCATAAGCCATTATGTACTGACAATTTTTATATTCTAGATTAGTTACATAATCTACATTATGTTTGTAGTGTTAATAGGATCGCCTGTCAGTCCAGCAACAGCATTAATGAAGACACTACAACTTGTTATGAACAAATTAAAAAGACTTTACAGTTTGCATTTATATGGTGCCACTTGCTTTAGTAAAGTTGACCACGCAGCAAGACCTAGATCTTAAATGGAAAAACATACAAACAAACCACGAGATCCGATGCATGTACACATAACATGACCTCAAATAGCCTAAGCCGTGGCAATGATCCTTGTGCAAAGTGCAAATGGGAGTTCCTGTGTGTGTGTATGAGAGAGAGAGAGAGCATGAGCAGTGATGTAATATACAATACTGAAGTATTACATCCTTGCCAGTGGAAGCTTTGCAGAGATTATGTAGTGAAAGTAAAGAGGACTATGGAACCCGTGTCTGCACTGCCGAAAATGTCACAGTTGATTTAGTGCAGTTCGGTTTCATTTCCTTTAAAGAAGAGGGGACGTCAGGTTAGCTGCCTTTGTGTGTTACTTGTAAATTAAGCTGTTTGTCCCTCTTCTTCAAGGATGCTTCCTGTTAAAAGATTTTCACGTTTTAGTCAAGTAGTCAGAGTATATTTGGATTTCTTACAGTGCTGCCTTTGTGTGCTCATTAAAGTGGGTCATATTTTCTAGAGCAAAGGTATTTTGCCAAAGGAAATAGACAAGTTTAAGTGGCATTTAATGATCCTCTCAGATTCATTAATGGGCTTTTCTCCCACTGTCTGATGAACAATGTGTGCCTGACAAAAACTGGAACATATGTATATTTAATTATCTTCAAGTTATCAGCGATGCTTAATCTAGTGCACAAATTACATAAGTCTTTAGTAGTCTTGTGCTGCTGGGATCAGAAGTCCTGTGTTGTTGCGCTGTTGTGAGGAGCAGATCATTTAGCAATTGAGCATTTTTGCCTCGTCAGCATTGCACAGGCACTAAATGATCCATCCCGCTGGCACGAAGCTCAGTCAAACATTACCTAGTAAGAGAAATGCCTGCACCAACATGTCACAGAAATTTCAACTCTGGAGAACAGCTGTAAGTGCTGCCGTCTGCCTGCTCAAACACATCAGAAAAGGAGAAAATGAAATTCCGTGTGTGTGTGTGTGCGTGCGTGCGTGCGTGCGTGCGTGTGTGTGTGTGTGTGTGTGTGTATTTTGATCTATTCTTAGCTTTCTCTTTGTGGTCCATGTAGCCTTGAAGGGCTTATGGAGATTTACGTAAGAGAGAGCGGGAGAGAGGGAGAGAGAGAGAGGGGCAGGCCAGACAAATCAGCAGCCCAGAGGCCCAGAATCACAGACACACAGACCCACTCGCGCACACACGTCTTCTGACCCCAGCTTTCTCACTGGCACCGTCCATGCTCCTGCAGTGCCTTGCAGCAGCTCAAAAAAGCTTCATCCACACATGTATGTTTTAAGCATAAACTTGACAAGACGTCCGTTGAATCAGCACCGATCCTTTTCATTTCCTTTTTTAATCTCTGTCTCCTTGATGCCATCAAAGACCACATGTCTTCTGATGACTGGCATCTTCTGCTCATGACATAACAAATCAGCCCTCCTCTCTTTTTGCCTTTTGAGAGATCACTGATATTCTTTTCACCCCTGCTCTCGCCACCCTTTTAGGTCTGATGTAGTGGTGCTTTGCTTCTCTCTGGCTAATCCCAATTCCCTGCGCCACGTCCGCACCATGTGGTTCCCGGAGATCAAGCACTTCTGTCCCCGGACGCCCATCATCCTGGTTGGTTGCCAGCTGGATCTGCGCTACGCCGACCTGGATGCTGTTAACCGGGCGCGCCGACCGCTAGCCAAGTGAGTTGCATTTTACATTAGGCATTAACAGACGGGTTTAGAGGGAACCTTGACCCTGTGGCTTCAGTGAGATGTGCATGTGATGTGCATGCCTGGTTAATCAGCAGCAGGAACTAAATCACCATAAATGAGGCAATTTTAATGCGTTTTTGCTTTGTGTTGTGAAGAAAAGTTAAAACGGTTAAAACGGTCAATTTTCTGCTCTTTTGAAAAAGATTGGCTTGCACTGATGTCATCAGTGACATCATGTTAGCTGTTCTTAAAACTAGCACTGAGATGAATACCGCTTTCTTATAGCATTGTTTTGTGCACCTAATTATATTGCTTGCGGTTCTTTATCTGACTGCTGTCATCATTATGATTGTTATGTCTTTCTCACTCACAGACCCATCAAACCTACAGATATCCTTCCTCCAGAGAGAGGCCACGAGGTGGCAAAAGAACTTGGTATTCCCTACTATGAGACCAGCATCGTTGCCCAGTTTGGTGTCAAAGATGTTTTTGACAATGCAATCCGTGCTGCCCTTATCTCCCGTCGACATCTGCAGTTCTGGAAGTCGCACCTGAAGAAGGTCCAGAGGCCCCTCCTCCAGGCGCCATTCCTGCCTCCTCGGCCACCACGCCCCATAGTGGGCATCCCAGACCCGCCTCTAACAGACGGCGAGGGCCCCGACTCCCTTTTCTGTCAGCCACTGTGTGCTGATGTTCTTTTCCTTCTGCAAGGTGGCACTACTCGAGTTTTTGCACACAAAGTCTATCTGGCTACATCCTGCTCCAAGTTCTATGACCTCTTCACCCTTGATCTCGGTGGATCGTGTACCGGGCCATGGGGGGAGGAACAGGAGAGCAAGGAAAAATCGGAGAGCGGGGAGGAAGACGAGCAGAGCCGGAGAGGAGCCAAGGAGCAAGCTGGACGTACTAAGAGCCTAGATATTGATAAAGATGGGGTTGACGGAGGCGTGAGAGGCCTGAATCAACCCCAGCTGCGCCAGCAGGGCTCTTTGAGGACTTCCCAGAGTGATAATGCACTTCCTTCTCGAGCCCAGTACTCCATGGGAGCACTAGGGACTGGGCGAGCACTTTCAGGATGGGGAAGGGGGTTCTTGAGTGTTTGTTTGGAGCACATAGATGATCCCGTGACTGGACACCCACGACTCATGACTGTGGTAGCCATGGATGCACTTATACAGGAGGAGCCATTCAAGGTGATAAAGTTAAAACACTGTTACTGAGAAAATAATTTTATTGATCGGAATATGTGAGATATTCTGCACCATTATTTTAGTGCAGATTAGCCTTTGATAATCAAAAGAAGCAAAGAAACAAACAAAGATTTCATCTTTCCAAAGCTCTGTATATTTGACCTCTCTGATTGGTTTTTGTTCTAGGCTGTGCTTCAGTACCTATACACCGGCAGTTTGGATGAGGGTCGAGGAGATCTGATGCAGGTCGCCACCATCGCGGAGCTACTTGAGGTGTTTGACCTGCGAATGATGGTGGCCAATGTTTTGAACAGAGAAAGCTTCATGAACCAGGAGATCACCAAGGCCTTCCACGTCCGCAGAGCCAACCGCATCAAGGAGTGTCTCAATAAGGGGACATTTGCTGGTAAACCACAATGCCATCCGCTCACTGGCTTGATGCTTTCAATAACACTGGTCTTTTTGTACTGTATATGCTTTCCATATATGCATCAGTATGTGTTTTTGTGTCTGTCTGTGTTTGGGTATACGTGTGTCTGTGTGGGGAAGAGAAGTGAATGAGGGTTACGAGAGGTTGTTGAGGAGACCATGTGACGAAGACAGGAAACAGCACTCTCTTTCACTCTCTGAAAATGTACACCCTGTGTTACATTTGGTCATTCTCTTTCCATGTAGTACTTGCTATGCAAAATGCATTCATATGTTTTTCAAAATCACAGTCAAAACATTTTGATGACTGACCGTTGCTTCACATTGTTTTGTGTTGGGTGTTATGTGTATCCTGTATTTGTGTTGTGTTGTCGTCCCTCCCTCCTGAGCTGTTGTGTATGCATGTTGCCACAGTGTTTCCAGCTAATGGTGAACATCTGACATTTCTGACAAAAAAAAACAAAACCCTTGCTCAATTTCATTACTTTCTATACTGTTTGTGTCGTGTTCGTTATTAACATTAGTGGATCTAAGTTTTCAATAATCTAAAAATTGCAGAAATGTTCCCATGACTTATTAAATGTTCAATTAAAAACAGGTGTAGTTTAACATGTGGCACGTTAAGAACCGCAGTGGAGAAGCTAGTGTATTTTCATGTCACTTAAACATTTCCTCTATCAAAGCTCTTGTTTGCACAGGATTTTTCTCTGTGATCCTTGCATCTACTCTCCTTCCCTTACTCTATGTCAAAAGCTGTTCTGTCCCCCCGTCAATTTATCTCTCTGTCTGTCTACCTGTGTCTTTGTGTGTGTCTGTCTGGCCTCCTGTCTGTCTCCGTCTGTCTTTGTGTGTGTCTGGGCGTCTGCCTTGTCCGTCTTTCCCCCTCTGTAGCTTGGGCTTCTGTGGCATACCACGAGATGAACGCTCTTTTCCGCCCCGGTTTTAGATGTGGTGTTCCGACTGGATGATGGTTGTCTCCCAGGCCACAAGCCCCTGCTTATCTCCAGCTGCGACTGGATGGCGGCCATGTTCCGTGGCTCTTTCATGGAAAGTTACATTGAGGAGGTGAGCTCAGACAAAGTGGGAAAAAGTCGAGGATGGAGTTACCTTTAAGTTTTGAGAAGGGATCGAGTGTCCGTGTCCTAAATCCTGCTAAATTCCCAGTAGTAACTCACAACTAGCAAGAAACGTTTTTAAGGCCACTTTGAAATGTTCCAAAACCTTTTAGATACAATTGATTAGAAATGTTGTAAATGCCAGTTTATGGCTAATAGCCTAACTAATATTAAATAATTTATGTTTATAATAACAGGGTATTTATGTGTGTACCAAAGCCCATTTGTAGCAGATATGATCCAACAACCTTTAAATGGATAAGCTCTCTAGAAAAGAGATGCAAAGAACACTTGAGCTATATTAGATATTTCTTTTTCTTTTATTTTTTAGAAACTTTTGAAAACCAGCTTTATTATGCTATCTTAGCCATGCTATCAGATTGCCCTACAAACCTTTTACTTACTTGTAGATGTGGTTGAAACTCTTTACGGCTCATGAGAATTGACCTACATAATAATTCACACGTCCGCACCTCCGTATACACAAATTTCCTGCACATGAGTACTGCTTGGCTTATCCCAACTCATATACAAGCATTATTATTTGCCATAAAATGTAATGATTTGCACTGATTATATTAGAGCTGGCTATTTATGTCTATAGCCTGTATACATAAAAACAAATATGCAGTCATACAAAGACACAGACGTGAACTTTTTGAGTCTGACTTCCTGTTTTTTGTGGTTTGACGCGAACCACAGCGTATCGTGTTGTGTCAATAGGTTGAAGGCTCACATTTTGCACTAACTCTTCTCATCTTCTATCAACTCAGTGACAGCCTTTAACTTCCTCTCTGGTTATGTGAGCCCCAGGGAAATTCTCATAAAATTTTTCTGGGTAGTAAAATTTAGTCAGACTTCTTATGCTGCAATCACCTAAGGTTTAGCTTCAGGAGGTTACTGGGTGCAGGATGTGTCTGACATAACCAGAGAGGAAGTTAAAGGCTGTCACTGAGTTGATACTCCTCGGACAGTGTTGCTGAACCAGATCCCACTGGGTATGGTTACTCTCAAGGTCAGCAGGTTTAGGTTACCCAATCCCCTGGAAGTTCTGGAAGTTTTCTGGAACTGAAGCAATTGGTAAAGATAAAGCTGTGGTCAAGAAAAGCATTGCTTTTTTTGTTGTTTGCACATGCAGATGGATGGGATTTCTTTCTGGAACACACCACATGAGTCTGTGTGCAAAAACAACCATTGCAGCTATTGTTTTCACTAGTGAAAACAGGACATCGGGATCAGTGAGGGGACGCAGTGTTTGCTGCTGGTGGTGGGCTGCTGGTGTCTATGGTTACACTAAACAGTTCATGTTAATGGCATGAGGCTGGCAGCACGTAGAGGACAGGTGGTCTGGACACAAAGATTCAAAGCCTGACCGGACAATGATGCTGTCAGCAATTTTGTTTATTAACAGCTGTTTTGTTTTGTTTTATTTTATTTTATTTTATTTGCTTGCTGATTTGCTTTATCTTAAATACATGTTGTTGTTTTTTACTCCTAATTTGTAAGCTGTTGTTTATCTTACCAGGATGGTGCACTTCTTGCTTTGCTTGCTGACTTTTAAAGTTGCTTCTTTCAAATTTGCTACAAGACCATAAGTTACCATGCTCTAATGTGTCTTACTTCCTGTGAGCTGCGCATATGAAGTGAATGCTAAACCACACTATTAAAAACCCCAAACACTGGTCTTTAAATAGAAGCAGAACTTTAAGAGCATGACACAATACAACTGCTCAACCCTAAAACAGCAGATGATCTAGCTTTAGTCACATCGTCCTGAACATTGAGCACATTTGACATACGTATTAACATGATGTGATATTTTTATAAAAATGAATTTAAAAATCTGAATATGACAAGAAAGAATCTGATTAATCTGGTGATAATACATTATCGTTATCCAAAAACAACTTATATTTCAAACTTAGGTAATGCACAATGCACATTTATTAGCATCTACTAGATACATTTTATACAGGCAATACATTGCTAATAAACAGCCTTATCATGTTACCATCACATTAGTTTGAAGTAAGTATTTTATATATTTGTGAAATATATATAAATTAATAATCCCTAACTCTAAGTGGGAGAGCATCATGTGATTAGAGATGTGTTTCTCTATTTTTATGCCCATGGCACACTTCCCTCTCTGTATTTTTGTGCTCACACATTTCGGTGTTCATGCTGCACTGCGATTGCACAGCTATTCTTGACTTGTGCAGAGCAGCATTAAGTTGAGTCTCACAAAAAAATGTGCTTAAAATCCCCATCACTTTTTGTGGCATTGGTTTTAGTATAACATTGGTACAATGATTTCATACATTAAGGATTTTCTTTTCTTTGTGAATTCAAAGGTGATCTGGGTGTAATTTTCTCTATTGTGTACTGTTCAAAAGGCACAAGTCAAAAGACACCTCTTGTGGTTTGCTGTGTCTGTGGATAGACCGCTGATTGTGTCATGGTACACCCATGGATTACTTACTAGGTGTGTGTCTGTGGTTTTGTGTTCACCCTGGGAGTGTGTATCCTGGTGGAGTATTACATGTTGAGAAACGACTAGTCTATCAAGTGTGAGAGCCTCTGCAGCTCTGTCATACTCCTTTTTTTTTTAACTGTGAGAAAAAAATTTCTCCCTTTTAACCCTTTTCTGTCACATTTATGGTGATGCTGCACGCTGTTTTTTCCTGACTACCTTTTTGTATATAACAAGAAGAGTAGGGTTGAAATCATGCCTGAATGTGTCATTTGCACTTTTATTTTTAGTCATTGCAGCTTTGCAAGTAATTGCAAATTTCACTAAACTTACAAATGAACAGTTATGATGGCAAGAGTAGAGCCGACAGATCGTACTCATACATTTTCGGAACCTGTGACTTTGTCCATCTATTAATTCTTCCTGATCCAGCTGGGAGGCCACCCATAGCTCTACGTTGTGTCTTTTTTTATCATAACGACAGGTCACACTAAGCTGACATTCTCCTAATTGGCTATAGGAGTGAAGGGTGGTGAGTGCCTCAGTGGGTACACTGAGGCAGAGTGCTCCTGAAGAGGTCAGGTTATCACTCTCATAATCCTTCCTCCTGTCCTTCCCAGGCTTAGACGGTCATCTAGTTTGTGGATCTGGTTATAGCCTTGCAGTAATTAAGATGTTTTGCTTTTATGTGTTTGTTTACCACCGAAAAGTGGTGGAGGAGGAGCATGGTCCGGTCTAAGTGATGTTATGGCAGCGTCAGTGTCAATATGGCTGAACATTTTACTTAAGAATTAGCTTAAGAAAAAGACTCCATATCCCAACTATAAACATTAGCCTAAAGTATCTTGTTTTTTAGGCTGCTTTTTAAGTGTGAGAATCTGGAGTGCTATTTTTTCTCATTATTAGCTTAACTTGTTGATAACAGTTAGTAGATAAAATGTCATAGATTATTTTATCATTAGAACAGAGTGTGGCTAAATGAGATGAACTACATAGTATATCTCTTTGACGAACGCTGCCACAGTCTGTCTCATCTGTGTCAGTGTCTTAGTCTGCACATTGAGGCTAGGTTTGTGTTTTCCCTGTGCACCACATTGCACGGTTGTATGTATGTGGGGTTTATCTGGATTTAGCCCTATTGCTTACATCACGAGCCAGATAGAGCCCTCATCTGAGCCAAGATCAAAGGGAATGCGAACAGTATGTCCTCTGCCCTTTACCTCCAGATACCTACAGCGCTGCTTTCATTGGTATTACTGAAACCTTACCCTTTACTAAACATTACAATCCACATGTCAGAATTTGCCAACATGTTTTTTTGTCGTAACACAAAAATTGTAAGTTCAGAAGACACATACAAATATGCAGTGTTTTTTGACATAAGGACCACTCATGTGAGGATATATCGGCGGTCCCCAACCTTTTTTGCACCACGAACCAGTTTATGCCCGACAATATTTTCACGGACCGGCCTTTAAGGTGTCGCGGATAAATACAACAAAATAAAACTAGTACCGGTACCGAAAAAAAGAAGATTTATTCATAACACACGTGAAAAGACCCAGGAAAACCGAGTTAACGATAAAAACGATAACAAAATAATGCTGAAAACCGATAAAAACCCTAAAAACTATACATTTCACACCTGAGCCTCAGCTCTCGCGGCCCGGTACCAAACGACTCACGGACCGGTACTGGGGTTGGGGACCGCTGGGATATATCTAATGAAAATGAATGTCTGCAATGCATTTTTTATATCTCATGCCTTGTTTTTGATCTGTTTACCCTTTATATGATAAATTTCCAGGTCTCCATCCCTAACACCAGTACAGCCTGTATGCGAGGGGTGCTGGAGTTCCTGTACTGTGGCCTCCTGACGCCTTGTCCTGGTCTGGAGCCCATGGAACTAATCATTCTGGCCAACCGTCTCTGTTTGCCACGTCTCGTCGCCCTCACCGGTAGGGATCCTTTCTGTCATATTGAGAGCACAGGAAGGAACGTCCTCTCATTTAAATATCATGTTCTCACTTCATGTGACAGAACATGCGTTTGATAGTGTTTTATCACTTGCACTTTGCTCCTTTTATCAGTGACTCTGTAACATTTTTACGTATAGCCTTCTGTTTGCATCTAGTGCAGATTTAAAGACTAAGAATTTAGGACTGGGAGAAAAGATATCCATGTGCAAGTGCTGCATGCAAATGGGAAATACTGACATGATTGTTTCCATTTTTATGCATTTTCAGAGCAGCACGCTGTGGATGAGCTTCTCCGACTGGCAGTGAAAGGAATTGACATTGATGGGCAGGTGTTGGCTTACCTTGAACTTGCACAGGTCTGTCCTTTAAATAACAAATTATTTATAATTCATTAATGACGCTGAATTACTTTCATTTTTGCTAAAGGGGGAATCCATATTTTTATAGTGATGCTATTTTTTTCAGCTCTGTAACTCCTCATTTCTTCTCTGCTTCTCTTTTTGCAGTTCCACAACGCAAAGCAGCTATCAGCTTGGTGTCTCCATCACATCTGTACTAATTATAACAGCATCTGCCGCAAGTTTCCCAAAGATATGAAGGCCATATCTCCAGGTAAAGAATAAACTGCCTCCCTCAAATCCCTTTTAGACACGTAGCTTTTCTCTCAGTGAAAAAAGTAGGGACCTTATTTTGCTTTGCAGTGCTACAAGAATGTACATTTTCTGGGTTAAACACACTGCTAATGGACTGCAACACAGTGTGACTTGATCATCACAAACATTTGGTTGGAGTGGGAGGGCTGAAATATTTTTTTTTCTGGATAAGCACTGAGGCTGCATACCTACTGTTTTTTTTGACGAAGAAAACGTTTTCAGTCAGTTATATCACAATTAAAATAATTTCTTTTTAAAAGGATTTGAATTCCAAACCAAAGTTTTGTGTTATTTCCGTACTGAATAAATGAAACCAATTAAATGAAACAATGTCCATTTATTCAGAAAAGGTGATCTCGACCACTCTTTAATTCCATCAGCGCACATCTTGAAATGACACAGAGAGTTTTCATGTTGCTTTTTTTCTGCAGTGACTTTTTCTTTTCATGCCTTTTTTTTTTTTTGCTCTGCTCTCTGCAGAAAACCAGAGGCACTTTGAGAAGCAGCGCTGGCCACCCGTGTGGTTCCTGAAGGAAGAGGATCGCTACCTGCGCTCCCAGAAGGAACGTGAACGTGAAGAAGAGATCTTGCGCAAGCAACACACCAAAAGGGGCTGGTGTTTCTGGAGGCATCCATCCTCCTCTCCACATGTCTCTTAAAGCGCCCCAACCTGGAAAGTTGCACCTCCCCATCCACCTCCACACATATAGAGGAGAATTACCCCGAACCCCTCTATTAGTGGATAAATGACCCTCAGAGCTAATATGCCTGGATGTCAGCATGTTTGGGGGAATGTATGTGCCTCTTTATAAGTGTGGGTGACCACACAAATGCATTTTGCTATCCTGTGTGACACGTGTGGATTCAACTCATGGGTATGTGCATGGAGGTGTGATTGTATGTGTGCAGTATATTGTGATCGAGTGATGCTTCCAAGTTGAGTGCTTCCCAAACGCCCTGTTTGATAATGGCCTGAGGTTGCAGTGCAGCCCCTTTTGTCCTTCCAGAAGAGCTCGGTCCCTCCACCAGCACTCACAGTGTCTAAGCCGCGTGAGTGATTGGACTGGGAGCAAGGGCTCTCTATTTCTCTCAGTCTCCATCCTTCACATTGACCTTAATGACTATTACACATTGACCACTGCGGCTTCTCTTGGGGGAGCTTACCTCTGCCTTCACTTCTATACAGACTGTTAGCATGCACACACAGACCTATGCCCATTTTCCACCCTCTTAAAAAAACCAGCACTGTATTCCCAGGAATTGACACTGACAATGTAATTATTATTCCAACATTGTTTTTTTTGTTTTTTTTTTTATGTTTGGCGCCTTCTAGGAAACTTTTATCAGGTGAAATGGCGCATACTACTTCCAGGAAGCTGATGATTGCCGTCACAACCACACGAGATGTGATTGTAAATCTAGAGCCGAGGTTTGCTGGCAAGGGGGAACTCTAAAACAATTAGTACGTTAAAATGCTCCTGTCAAGAGGATTGATCATAGCCTTCGGTGATCCCGAAGTGGTGGTTCTTGGTGTTTATCACCCACCCGTGCACTTCCCAATCCTTTGCTGCGCATACCAAGCCACAAAAAAACAACAAAAACTAAACAAAAAGCTCGAAACCCTCGAATGACCACAGCAATAGGGGGCAAAGAGGGCCAGCCTTACTTGATACCTCCGCCATGGAGGAATGATGGATTCAGTATTAAACAACTGCGCTTGTAACGTCCACGACCACTATGTTACACTGAAGCACCTCAGCCAGCCTGCCTTTATACCCCTACACCACTAGGGGCAGCACTGCTCAGGGCCCTGACACTATCTTTCACACTAATGGATTTTAGGCCTGTGTCTTCTGCACTATACTTTCATTTGATGAGATTGCCAGTATAACTTCAATCCTTGCAGTGTTAAAAAAAACAAAACTTCAGCACCTGCAGTGTTATTAGTGCATTTATAACAAAACAACAACTATATATCACCAGATTTATTAATACCAAAGCTGTGATTCTTCTTCTTCTATTTATTTCTGCCTCCTTCCTGCCTTTCTTTCTTTTTTCTTTTTATTTTTCAGGAAGAAGGGATGTAAGAGAGAAGTGAAAGTGATTGTAGGAGAAGAAGAAGGCAGAAAAATATTTGAATCCTTTGGATGGGTGGTGTTTCTAATCTGTGGTGTCAGGAGAAAAACCGTCACTTCTGAACATTGCCTTCGTTTCTGTTGCTCAATTTGAAAATGGTGCTGAAGACACAGTAAGACGGTGTTCGGAAGAACACACTCAAGAACCTGTGTATTTTTTTTGTGTTTACCTGCAAAGAGAATGGAGAAATTTAAGGAGGGGTTTTAAATTTTGACATAGGAGCATTTTAACCCTTATTGTTTCTTCTTCCTTTACTAACAGTCTGTAAGAGGTCATAATAGGTCATTGATATTTAGATTGTGTGGTTTGTCTGATTTAACCCACAGCAGTTACAAACCTTTTTTTTTGCTGCTTTCTGATTCAAAAACAACGTGATCTACGTTGCTTCGTTAATCAAGATTGAATTCGGAGGCGTGATCGTTGTTTCAAGAAACTTGTCAGTATATTGCTGTGTATGAGAGCAAATCTGATTTTCCTGTTGAGGGTGCTAATTTTGTCAGGCTTTCGTACTGATTGTGGAGGGAAAAAAAGAAAAAAGATGTGTTGATGAATTTCTATTAGCACGTTGTTCTATTTGTGGGTTTGCGCCCCTCAGCTTTACCCAGGCACTAGATAGATAGATTGTGTGAGACATCTGGTCTGTTCTACCGTGCAAAGTCATTGTCAGCTCCTGAAGTAGAAGTTGAGTAGGACCTCATGAGACTCAAGTGCAAACTGAGCTGTTTCATCTCCAGAAAGGGTGAAAGTGAGCATATTTCAGTCAGGATTACACATATCCTGAATAAATGCATAGATAGTTAAAAATATCCCAATGCATGGCTTTGAGAACTTAGAAAAGAGACCTGAAGAAGAGGAAAGACTGTTTTTGATTAACTTACTTTTAAGTTTCTCATAGAATCTTTTTGTCTTAATGGTGTTAATGGTTAGTATGTCCCCATTAAGCCTATCTTGGTCCAGGTGCCTTATAGATGGACAAAACTGGAAACTAAAGTGGGATTTTAGCAGCTTCTTAGTTTAAAGCTGCAGACTGGTTCTGCAGTCAGCGACATGAAGGACACTGTAGACAATGGCCATGATCATAACTGTAAAATTTTCTGTGGTGATCCTTCATGCATCTTCAGCTATTATTCTTATTGAAGGATTTTTAAGACGATTGCCTGTGCAAAATCCTTTGGCCTTCTGTTTACTTCATGCAGACAAATGGCCTTTTAAACGTTTTTTTAGTATAGTAGAATATGCTGGCCTTAGAGTAAGGTGTTTTCTCTGAATCGGGACTCACGTCATGGTTACGTTTTTTTCCACTGACCAGATGACTGAGTGGTAGCAACAACACCAATTGCATTATAACTTCCAAACCACTGTTTTTGAGAAAGCAAAGCTTTTTATTAATTAGCGCTGGCTGGCCTGTGCGCTGGGAGGGTGCAACCACTTTTGGAGTGAAGTTAATTTCTGGCCTACCCTTGTCATTACAATGACATTTGAGTTGGAATGCACTTTTTCGTGTGTCTATACCATACCTCTTTTTTCTGCACTTAGCATGGATTGATCCTTGTGTAAGATTGTTTGTAAACCTGAAGATTGTAGCATGACTTTTCCACTCAAGTCTTTCAAATCCTCCACATCTCAGTGACGAGATGGACGACACAACTTCTTCAGCTTCTTTAAGGTCTTGTACGCATTGAACTCCACAGTAGCTCTTTTCCTGGCTATGTGGCTTTATGCACATGCCCTTTTGGCTAAATTAGCTCTGCACAGCTGAAGGTAGCATCCAGCTCTAAATGATACACTTCACAGGTTAGCGTGATAAAATAATGCAGAGGATCTGTTCCTGTGGTGCAGTGTTACAGCTCTCCATGTGTGCTGTTACTGTAGTTACTAAACTTAATGAAGCTTGTTTCTGTCATTTTTTTTCTTTAATCTTGAAAAAAAGAAAGAGAGCAGTTGAAATCAAGGATTTATAATCCAGTGTAAGAATATGATGCTAAACTGCTGAAAGCCAAGAGTAATGTTTGGATTTAGTTTGCATGTAATGACAGAGGAATTGTATAAGGCATGATGCATGTTTCAGCAGTTAGATATATGTTACATATACAGCAGTTTCTTAATTTTTGTTGTTGTCACTCTGTTTGGGGATCACAACGCTGAAGGTTGACAGGGTTGTGGGAAATGTATAAAATAGAAATCATAAAAAACACTAATATTGATAACAGTAATTATATTTGAAAGCTAATTTGGGGTGACAGGGCATCGAGAAAGGGAGCATCAGGCCAGAGGCAGTTGAGAGAGGGAGTGATGGAGAGCCAAAACTGTAAGCTTTGTTCATTTTATTTAGCTCAACATTTGCCCAACACTGACTCCTACAGGCAAAAGTTATGTGTTGTCACACTGGCGGTAGAGTTCCTTTGTATTGTCGTGATCTCTCTATCTATCTTGATCACAGTGTATTTACTGTCACATTTTCCTCTGCTATTTGAGATGGAGCAGTTCTTCCCTCCTTGGAGACCTGAGCTCCCTATTTTAATGTAACACCTGGTGATGGAGAGAACACTTTTTGGGGGGGATTGGGGTTTTGTTGTTGTTGTTGTTGTTGTTGTTGTTGTTGTTTTTGGTGTCTGGTGTCTCTCTCCTCCTGTGCCTTTAGTGAATTTTCACTCTTTTAGCTCTGTTCAGGCTGACGGCACAGCACTTACAGCCTCCCGGGCACAAAGTAAAGTCAGTTAAGCCAAGAAGTAACACACATGTGAACGCAGAAATAAATGTAGGTTGATATGCAGCATCTTAGAGCTTATGTGGAGTGACCTATATTTCTTTAATGTTATTATTCATGCAAAAAGTAGTTACAGTCTATTGGAGTCAATTCTTCCAGTGATTACATACAGAGCTTTTCAAGTTCTCTAAGTGACGTCATCAAAAGCTACACAGCGGATGACATAAATAAACCAAGAAACCCAGCAAACCAGCAATTTAGAGTAACGTTTCCTTTTCAGGTGCCTGCACATTTTATTATGTAGCCGACTATTATGTGTCTGATGAGTATGCTGTCCATATATATATACACACCAGTTTTTATTGATCCAAATCAAAATATCATTTAATTTTCCATTTCTCTACTTAATCTTTGTCTTTAAGACAAATTCTGTAGTGCACTCTATTGCTTCCACTATTTCAGTATCCTTTTATTTGGGGAACTGCATCTGTGAATGATTGCTTGGATTGAAGGCAGATGTTAGCTGTGACATCTGTATTATTCTGCATTATGCTTTAATGAAGGTAGGTACTCTCCAAAGTACAATAAAGTGTTGTAAATTTAATACACGTCCCAGCTGGACATAACCTGTCATCTTCTAACTACTCATCACACTGTATCTCTTCATTAGATTCATGTATAAGAAAAGAGAGGTGTTCATATAGAGAGACATGGTGTGAATTAACCCCCTGGTCTATACTGTAACTTGTGGATCATATATACTGTATAGTATTGTTATGCACTTTTGTTTCCATCGACTCAAACGACTTAATAACATGTACTGCGTACGTTATTGTGTTTATTACAATAAAAGGCAAAAGAAAGAGCACACCACACTCACAAACTATTAAGGGCTTTCAAATTTTTTTTACAACAATCAGAATGTTTTGCTGCTTTTGCAAAAAATGTTTTGAAATGAAAATTTTGTAATATTTTTGAACCACTGTGATTTGTATAAAAAATAAATTCAAAAAGAAATGTAGAGAAAAGGTTTTTTTTTTCTTTTTTGCCATTTCAGTATTTTAATGTTTGACATGAATTTTATTAAAACTATTAATCTTTTGCTGTTTCCTGGAATGGACGTCATTGTGGGTCTTTCTTTTTTTAGTTTGTTTGTTCTCATGATAAAGCTCCTCAGTGGATTTCCAACATAAAGAGGATTTCTTTTCTATTAAGAGTCTGTAATAACAAGACTGACAGAAAGATAGTGTATTGGGATTTTCCCAAAAACCATATCTTCAGAGAATTGTCCCGGAAAGAGAAAATATCCAGTCAGTGGCAGTTCTCTAGGTAAAAACTAATTTGTCACCCATAACTCTTTATGTCAGAAGTCAGAGGACAATGGACAGGCTGCTTTGAACTGATAGGAAGGAAAGTGTAATTTTTGAAATTACCACTAATTATAACCAAGTTACACAGGAGAGCATCTCTGAACACAAAACATATGATGGGCTATGGCAGCAGAAGCCCACACCCAGTGTCAATCCTTTCAGCTAAGAGCTGCCACAGTTTGCACCTGCTCATAGCAGTTTATAAAAATGTTGCCTGGTGTGAGTTTCAGTTTCTGCTATGACATTCAGGACAGCAGCTGGACCTTCAGCTAGCAGACACACAGCGCGACAAGCTGCACACAAACCGTTTGCGTGTTTCCAACACTTTTTGAATCTATGCCGCAAATGGAGGTTCAGCTCCGAACCAACAAAGTAAAAATAAACTGGCTGGTACCACTATAACTGAAGCCTTTATTTAAACAGTGAGAGTTGTCCTCAAATGAGAATGAGTGATAAAAAAAACATCATTTGAAAACAAGCTGATGGCCATTTCTTTTAAATTTTTACAATCATCTGTTTCAAGGAGGAATACGTCATAGTGCTCATAGTATTAACTAATCTGATGCCCAGTGTATTATTAAATACATAAATAGTGCTGGGGCTGGAGTAACACGGTTTTCCGCTTTTCTGTGATGTGATGTTCCCACTGTAAAGCTTTATTTTGAGGAAGCAGAGTTCCAGTATTCTGTTTCCAAGTGTTCAGACCTTTCCTGCCTGTATTTTAAAACCAATGCGCTATGATATAGATAAATGACCACTAGAGTAAATTCTAGGAATTTTGCATTATTAAATTTGAAAAAGCAAAACAAAACAAACCTTAAGCCGTTCTCTCACCTTTTCTATATTATCTTTGGCTTTGTTTGAACGTCAGTTTGGTGCACATGTGCCACCTAGTGGAAAGAAATAAATGCACAGGTTTATTAGAAGAAGACACAATACCTCGAAAAGAAATAGGTATGTGTTAAAAAGAAGTCAACCGAAAAGCAATAAAATAGTTTTGTGTCTCGAATGAGCCGTAAACTTTATAATCAAGAAAAAAAGATGTGGCTGCTGTCTGGAGTTTCTGGCACAATCTTCCATGTGTCGGCTGATCCCAGCTCTTTCTGAAGCAAGACCTTCATGATGTCACGGCTAAATTTAGTCCAATAAATACCTGAAATTCTGTCCAACATCCAATCATTATCTTAAGTCTTTTTGTGTCTTTAAAGTGTTCTATGAAAGAAAGACTGAATCAGCAGTTGTCATTAAGCGAACCCCTGAACAAGCATCATCAAGATCAAGATGATGCGAGCTGAGGTTTTTAATAACGTCTGGTTAGGGATCACAGTAAGCCACAGAAACTCCAGGCTGCCACAGAAACGCGTTTAGCGATTTGGCTGATGATCTTTAACTTTCGTGACAAGACGACGCGGTGATTGCAGGGAGCGAAATTTCCACATCCATTTGCACTCCTGATCTGTGCCTGCGTGAGTGCGTGCAAGTCACAATCACAGCCTTTTAAAACTCACCAGTCAAGCTGTCTACCAACAAATTTTAACAGCCAATGACGTGTATCAGTTCTCCTTTCATCTTCTTATAAAACGAAGGAACTTATGAGCTTTTTGTAGCAGCAACCTCAACCTCCACGGTCACCAGCATCAATCTGAACACTGATTACAGACCTTTAATGCCGTGTCAGTTGTGGGCTGTGTTCATATTTCCCACAAACTTTGCCCCTGCTTTTGCACCACAGCATCACTGAGCACTACTTTAGAGTCACAGACGTGTGCTGACATCACCACATCTGGCTCTCATTTCCTTGGCTTCTCTTGCAGCAGATAAGATGAGATGTATTTAAAGCACAATGCCTTGTTGTTCAGCGGAGAAGAGCACAAACTGATTGACTTGGGTCTTCACCTCAACTGCTAGTGGACCAAAGGTTAAAACCCACTTTTATAAACTGATCATATGCATATGCAAACTGTGTCTAAAGTTTGCAGACAAGTTACTTCACTTTTTCAGTCTTTTGTTGACCCCTTGTCAACTTCTTTGAGACATGTTGCTGCTAATATGGTTCACGAAAAAGTCAAATGCATCAGTGGAAACATTTGATATGTTTTTATGTTCTATTGTGAATCAAATGTGGGTGTTGGGGCTTTTAAGCTTTTAAATATTCAATGACACACTTACATTATTATCTCACTTACATTATATTACGATTTTATTTTTTTTAATGCAGAAAACCTTTACAACCAAATGTACTTAATTTACTTACAATGATTGAGTGATGGCACATTCCTTATTTTGCCCTCCTCAGAGTATGTTTCATTTATATGATGTTTGTCTAGTTCTCCCCAAGGTCTGCTTCTCAGACAAAACTCCCACCCCCTCCCAAATTCCTAAACACATCTTCAAATCAGGGCCTCTCAAAGCAAATTTCATGAAACCTATATCATTCTCACACTGTCGACGAACTTAAGAGCTATTTTATTTCGGCAAGCAGTCATGGAAATCAATTTTAAACACAAATGTATGTTCTCTATATAGTCCTGCAAAGCCCTGTCATTTGTTTAGGCTTGACATACAGTACTGTCCAAAAGTCATAAGCCACTGTTGATTCTTTAGATTTTGGTCCCAAAATGTTTGTTTTGATGATCTATGATTCATCCAAAGTGAGAAAAGACACCTGACTCAAGGGATGAACCAGTTCTGTGTCCACGGATAGCAGACAACTTAGCAAACAACCACTGTGAAATTGTATCTTTGGGCATTTTGTTTGTAGCAACTTGACACAAAGACACCTCAGCTTCAGAGAAATAAAATCGCATTTTTGCACTAACAGGGTGATTCACAAAGACCTATTATCCAGAAATTTGGGCTATCTTGGTAAATGAGGACAACAGAAGAAGTAGC